CTTAACCAAATATGGTAAAGAATCGATCGAAAGCAGAACTAATGGTTCTTCTTCATCAGTGGACAGTGACTATGGTCAAAACCGATACCTTGGTGTTGAGGGTGTGGAAGACTACATACTTAGTAAGGATGAATACCACGAGCCGCGGAAGCCAAATACAAAGTGCGTGGTACATTTTTTATTGTTATTTTGAGTTTGATTGAAAGTTGTTTTGTGAGTTCTACCATCATTGCTTGTCATTGCAGTGATGCGCACCTAATTGAAAAAAACAACAACAACAAAACAAAAAATTAACAAAAACAAAACAAACAAAAAAAACAAACAAAAAGCCCATTAAGTTGTCGGGTCAAAAAAAGGCCAAAACATCAAGAGACCGAAGGGAATTTTGGGTAATAGGAAACTCGAATAATATTTTCCTGAACATGTTATATCGTAGCATTTCAAAGAAAGAAATCTGATATGCAATATAGACGCTATCCCATAAAGTCAGTTACACACATAATCAATTACATTCCCATACTTCCTTGCGGTATTAACTTTGATAATGTAATAGTTGGTTGTTCTTCATCTAACAACGTTGTTTCAATTGGATGTATATGATTCACTAATCGAACGTATTGATTTTAGACATTAGACATTGTGTATATTCTGTGGGTGGTTGCTTCGGCAGAATTTACGGATTTTACCATAGGCCGCCCAACTATTGCTTGAGAGAAGGAAAACAAGTTTTTGATCCCGCGAGGCAAGGAATCATTGACGTATTACCACAACCCGCATTTTGCTAAAGGCCGATTTAGACGGCACAACTTTTGCCTACAACCATCGCATGCAACCTGCGTAAGTCATCCTTACAACATAGCTACAACTGTCGTAGGGATTTCAAACAATTGGTTAATAGCCACACGACAGTTGTAGCCATGTTGTAAGGATGATTTACGCAGGTCGCATGCGATAGTTGTAGACAAAGGTTGTACCGTCTAAATCGGCCTTAAGAGTGCGTGCCGATTACCAGTAAAAGCGTGCGCATTCGTTCTTTTCCTTCTGTCAAGCAATAGTTGGGCGGCCTATGCTTTTACCATGCACCCTGCACTATTCGTCTAATACTAGATATGTTGTATTTCAGGATCCAGAAATGCACACACCCTTTAAACAACATCCTTTTTTTAAAGACTCATCACACCGGAAGTGACATCATTAGCAATATTCTGAATCGATACGCGGACCTCCGTGATCTTAAGGTGGCGATACCCAGCGGTGGCGTGTCGACATTCTATTGGCCAGCACGTTTCCACTGGAGACACTTAGATTTATCAATAGTGGACGGCATTTTACCCAATATTCTTAGCAATCATGCAAGATATAATCCTGATATAATGGATCAAATAATGCCTTCTGGGACAGCTTACATCACAATGTTACGTCATCCCTTGAGTAATTTTGATGCGTCATTTGGCAATGAGGATTTCGCTGGACTTTTGGATATGTACGAGTACTCGGATCCCATTGGGGCCTTCTTGGAAAACCCTAAGTACCATATACAAAGAATAATAAAGAGAAATACCTTTAAAGTAAGTATACAGATTTATACGTTC